GAATATACCTTCTAATATTCATATGTGAATATACTGTATAATATTCATAAGTAAATATATCATCTAATATTTACAAGTGAATATACTATGTAATATTCACATGTGATATACCATGTAATACTATGTAATATTCACATATGAAAATATAATTTAATATTCATAAGTGAATATACCATCTAATATTCACAAATGAATATACTATGTTAATATTCACTAGTGAATGCATCGTCCAATATTTAAATATGAATATAATATGTTTATTATATGCTATATTCATATATAAAGGATACTTAAATTGTAAAAAAAAAAATCATACTTTTTATTCATAACTGAATATCGAATGTACTGTAATAAAATCTGATTCATTTTTATTCACTTATGAATAACGATAGCTGAAAATATAAAAAAATAAAATTTTTTATTTTATCTTAAACCTATATCAATATGGATGTCTATTTGTAGAAAATAAAAAATCATGAATTTTGGTATATTTAAAATCATTTTTCGATAAAAATAGCTTCTTAAAAATCAAAAAAAAAAAAAAACGAAAAAAACTATGTTTTTGTATATATTAAGGTGATAATTAGCATAGTTTAAGGAAATAAATTTTGTTGGAAAACACATGTCTATTAATTTTTCATTTCCGCTGGTACGACGGAGGCTTTTGCGGCAAAAATAAATGAGTGGCTGAGAATAATTCCCCCATTCTCAACCTTTTTTTTTCTCAATTGAATTCTCCCCTATATATATATATATATATATATATATATATATATATATATATATATATACATGTGTGTGTGTGTGAGTGTAGTAAAGTTAAAAAAAAATTAATCACAAAGACCGATTCAAATGTCAAAAAAGCAATCAAAACCGAAGGACCAATCACAGCATGCGGTAGTTTCTAGCCGCAGTGAGGTTGCGACCGCACCAGACCGCGGCCTGGGGGCGGTGTTTTCGGTTGATGTGGCACAAACTGCGGTCCCAGACCGCGGCCACACCCTTTAGCCTTATACGTAGTCTCCCTCTTTTTAGTCACTCCCGATAACAACCCATAACCCTAATGTCGTCCACATAATGCCCGTGAAAATCATGACGCCGCCCACCTGCTTCCATGTATCCGGCGAAAACCAAGCTCCACGGTCGATCTTCTCCCCACTGGGATCCACAACTAGATCCAACACCCTAGATCACAACGCTCCTCCTCATTCTCTTGTTCTCTATTCCGTTTATCAACCCCTTTTCCGGCGAGCTCCACACAAATTCGAATCTCCCCGTATTACTTTTATCCCCCCCAACTCTCATGAAACAAAAATGGTGGACCTTATGAAATAAAAATGGAGGACCTAAAGTCGATGCAACTCGCCATAGATCTTTATTCTCACCCCTTCTTCTTCTACATCGATCGGAAAACCACTAGTTAACGTCATCTCCACTGCAACTCACCATCTCCATCATAACTTGCCATCACTGGATCTATTCTTCAATTTTCGAGCGGTATAAGCATCGTCGTTAACGTACAAGTCAAAAACCACCGATTATCTTTGATTGTGTCACTTTGCTCCATGGAAGGTTTGAGATACTGATGTTTTCCAGTGGTTCTGGTGGTAGCGGTGACCCTAAGCGACATAGATCTGAGATGATGAAGTTAACAAATAGAGAGATAGACGTGAAGTGTGGTCCGTCAATAATGGAGGGTTTGGTCAAGCGACTCACTTCTGGAGTATTGTTCGGGGATCAATACCTAAGTTATTTCCGGTGGTGGTTGTAACAATTTCTGATGGCTTTGCTTCTTCCTTCAAACAATATAGCGGTGGTGTTGTTTGATATCTATCAAAAATTTAGGAGAAAGAGGGGTGGCTAAGGTTTTCTTTCATTTAAAAGGGTTAGGTGGACCATAAAGTTAATTAGATTTTTAATAACTAATATTAATCCCAAAATATAAAAAGTAAATGAAAAATAAATCGAGAAGGGCATTATAATCATTTCATGTTTCGCAAGGGATGAATCATGTAAATTTAAACTAATGAATGATGAAACGTGCAAATTTTAATCAAACGATGGACGATTCGAGTTAAGTTTTGAAAATAGGGATTGAACGTGCATTTTAACACATATACGAGGGACGATTTGTGTAATTTACTCTTCACTTTAATCGCTTACTCGCGTAAAACGGGGTATGGATTTGTTAACAATATAGAAAATAAAGGATTATTCTTAATTGGTAGTCACAATTAAGTATGTTGCTACCTTTTATAAACACAGTAAGAAAATGAATGTATATTGGTATTTTAATGCTTAAAATGATAAAAATAAAGGACACTTCTCTTTCTAGAAAAAATGATCCAAATTAATGAAAAATAAATATTCAAATGAAAATACGTTGCCCTATATTAGTATTTTGTTTTAAAATATGCCAAAATCCACCACCTACCAAAAAGCCACTTACCATTAGCCCAATGAAGCGTATTTTGATGAATTCGGTTTAACTCTTCACGATTCGGTCTCACACGTATATATCTACCTGACAACCTTTCTATGTGCCTCACATGAACCAATTGGAAATGTACTATGGCATTGGGTAAAAAAATAAAAAGAAGTTGAACAAAAAAAACATTAAAAAACGTTTAAATTAGAATTACATGCTATTTAGTGTATTTACCATCTAAATATGAAAACAATTGCAGCAAATAGAAATGTAATTTGTGATATGGATTCAAGTTGTTTCTTTAGTTGGGCACCTCAAAATTTTGTATTAAAATTAACGTTTTTTGTGGAATAAAACTCAAAATGAAATAACAAGCAACGCTGATTTATTTTTACCTCTTGCAGTTCTTTGATATAGTGTATTCTCTAAGTACAAAATTCTTTTCAGGATCTCCTTCAATTTTACAAAAGTCTTATCTCATTACATGTAGAATTTACAGTGTTTAAACTCAAACAGCTGAAAGAAATGTCAAAATGAAGTGATAATAAATTAATAATATATAAAATAAAAATGTGATTACCAGACTTGAATTATACCTTCAGATGACAACAATAGATTAAGAATAGACCAATATTTTTTTTGCATAATTAATTTGTTTTTTTTGTTTGTTTAACAATATTTAGATTTTTTTCCCTTTTCTACGTGTAATCTTACTATCTAAAATCAAATTATTTTTCCCCAAACCCCATGTTTGAAAGATCTACAACTATTTTTCCAACATAATCAGGTGTAATGTAGCACATTTTACAACAACATTGTACCTGCAAAACATAAAATTGCTATGTATGAATTTTGATAACAGTAAAGAAATTATATTGGGTAAATAAGAAAAAAAAACTTACTAGAACCATATATAGAGCATCAATGTTGTCAGGTGGTATTGTAGAGCATCCATGTTTTTTTCCTTTTTTTGAAAGAACTTATAGAGCATCTATGTTGTCAGGTGATATTGTTGCATTCAAACCAGAATACCAAATAATTAAATCGAGTATTATATCTAATAAAAATATATAAATTTGTGTGGCACAATCTACATTCAGAATGATATATTAGTTCTTGTTTCAAGATTTACAACACACTAAATAATATAAAGTAAAAAATATTAAAGATACAATTCCTAGAGTGAAGAGGCCATTTCTTGCATCTATCCCCTCTAAGAATGTTAAAGATACAATTGCTAATAGTAAACTCTATAATGATAGTCATGAAGTTGCACAATACTTTAGAAATTAATATTTACTGTTGTGTAATTGTTTCCAGAGAACCAGTGAACATTTTAAGGAGTTAAAATATGGGGATTTTTTATGCTAGTGTTAAAAGAAGGAATAGAAATGTAGTTTGCATTCGTTATATAGAAGGTAAAGGTAGTAGGATAGGTGCTATTTTTCAAAAAGAAAAAAAATAAAAGGGTAAATTACACGGATGGTCCCTGTGGTTTAGGGTAATCTGCATCTTGGTCTCTAAAGACCTTTTTTAACTCGAACCGTCCCTACTTTATATTTTTGTTACATGCTTGATCCCTAGCACGCTTAAAAAGATTGTATTTCCCTTGTATATTTCTTTTATAATTAAATTAACGTTTATTGATTATTTTATTTATTAAAGAAATTGTTTAATAAAAGGTGGGTCCCACCAACCCACCCACAACCTATGTATTGTATGAAATGTATTGTATGAAGCTTTTATCTTTTCTTCGTTCATCCATGGTTCAGTGAAAGAACCCTCCACTTACCGACAACCATTTCTTTACCATCGTTTCTCTCTTCCACGCTCTACTTGCCAGGAAATGCCACAGTCGGCGACTATCCTCCATACCCTCCATCTCCTTCCTTTCTTTGTCACATGCAAACATCTAGCACCAGATATAAATCCATTTGTCTTTCACATGTGAAGATGGATTATTTGAAGATGTAAGCTTCCATGGAAACTCAATGTCACCTTCATCTTTCCCTCCTGTCAAGTAGGTGTCATGGATATTTCCGATGACCCGAAACTTGACGAAGATAAAGAAGGTGAAAAACTTGATTTGGGGATTTTTGTTTTTTTACAAGCCAATTTTATTGAATCTGTCTTCCTTTTAGGTTTCTATATACCTGAACTTTCTCAACTCCATCTTCATTCTTAATTAATGTGAAAAACTGTAGGATTTAGAAGGAGAAAAGTTCTTGATATGGTGATGGTGGAACAAGGAATCAGAATGCAAAAATGAGGGCTTTTTTTTACATCTGATGGATTCATTTCTAAAGAAATAAATCAATTTTGATGTGAAAAGTTAAGAGGTGTTTTTGCAACTGGTTTGGATTCGATTAGGAAGCAAGAACTCGGTTGAATATTATTACTGGTTTTGGTTTCATCCACTGTTGTGATCGGGGATTAAAATTGTGGAAGATGATTCGTTTTTTGTAAACGCTTTCATATTTTGATTTCAGGTATTAGTGTTCATTTACGTGGGTTTTTGTTTATTAACGATGCTTTGATGATTAGCAACTAAAATTGTTTTTAGATGATGATATTAGACGATGGTAGCTGGAGATGGTAACAATGGAAAGGGAACTAGTAGGAACATGAATGGTGGGTTGGGTTGGGGTAAAGGTGGAAAGTGGTGGAATTTAGTGTTTTCCAATGAAGTGAAACGTTTTCTGGTGGAGTTGCATTTTCCGGCGACTAAATAGGAGGCACATTTTCCGACGACTAAACAGGAGGCAAGGGAGGGGAGGAGGGTGCAATGTGGGTCCTTGAATCAAACCATTATACATTTACTTAATATTCTTTCCACATTTAATTAATATTTTTTAATTAATTGATAATTAAAAAAGATAAAATAAATCAGTAAGGGTAAATCAGTCTCTTTAGAACGGACAGAGATCAAGTGTGTAACAAAAATATAAAGGAGGGACGGTCCGAGTTAAAAAAAAAAGTTTGTGGGGACCAAGCATGCAGATAATCCTAAACCACATGGACATCCCTGTAATTTACCCAAAATAAAATAATAATAACAGACAAAGTTTCGATTAAGGTGACGGGAGACATTTGTTTTACTTTTGTTTATGTTTCTTATTTTCTGTTGCTTGAGAACCAAAAATAGAAATTCTATCAACACATGGCAAGTTGGAGTTGGGCTTTATTTATTTATTATTCATTTTTTATTTAGCTCAATGCCTCCGCAATCCATCTTACGAAGAGTCTAGGCCATATATAATTTTTTAAAGTAAAAAAGCCAAACCTGGATGCTAGGAGTAAAGGAACCTTCATCAACATCATTTCTGTCATCCGGACCATATTTCATTTTAATTACAAAATTTAAGTTTAGATGTATTTCAACAACCATTTTCATGATTATAGCATATTTCTTTGTTTTTTCCTATTACAAAAATATCAACACAACTTACATCAATTCCATAACTAATTATCATACAATTAAAATAAATAATATGAAATAAACATCATAAATGAAATTTCATTATTATCATCATCATACCTTAAGGGTACCTTTGCAGTGGCTACACTTGAAGTAAGATTTGTGATAATCAATAATATTAGGAGGCAAAAGCTCCACTGGGTAAACAGGCTTCCCAAAGGCCTTACATTTTTGTTGAATTCCAGTAAAAGACATAATTGCCCTTTTCCCCTGTGGATCTGATCTCAATCTTTTCCTTTATTTGTATGTATGTGTGGGGTGGGGGAAATGCAACTGCTGTAACTATAGAATCTACTACCTCGCTCCAACTGTGTCTTGTTAAATTGGTAATATATCTATAACATTAAATATCGTGGTTCAGGAGAGAGTCACCAAGCCTTTCGCCATCTTATGTATCCCTCCTTTTGAAAAACTAAATCCTTAAAATAAATATTAAATAAACTTACTAATACTCTTCATAATTTTTTTGGTTTTGATTAAAATATTTATATTTATAAGCATTGCAGTAGTCGATTTGAATCCATCAAAAGTCACAACAGACATCTTTCTCTTAAATCTCCAACCAAGATATATTAAATCCTTTTCGGTCACAAAAACTCCCATGTGATGATGGGTCATCACAAAATCTCAAATCACTATCATCAATTAAAATGTAACATTTTAATAATAACTAATCGTAATTGTGATTTCAACATGAAATCATCCAAAAGAAAAGTGATACTAAAAATTGAAATGAAGGAGTATCACAAATCAATCACTAAATTATAAAAGCAATTTGATGAATGGATGAGGGACAAATTCCCAAAACAATTTCATATTTCAAACCGACATTGCAGTTGATGAATTATTAGTATACCTTACAAACGTGGAGGAAGTGGATGACCAGATTAGAAGTATTTTGTTATGGTTTTTAGTTGAAGAAATCACAACACCGTCATCTTAGTTTGTTAATTCCAATAACAGTTAGCAAATTAAAATTAAAATTAAAAAAAAAAAGAAAAAAAAAACGAACCTGCACGGAAACAGTGGAAGGACCGCATAACCACAGGAAAATAAGAAGACGATGAGAGATATCAAACTAAAAGCAGATCAATAGAACAAAACCCAATTTGTGAATTCAAAAAGAGAAATTGGAAATACTTCTACATTTTATTCCTACTATACTCCTACCAATATTAAATGGTGACAAATGGACTAAAATTAATTCAATTTTAATAAATATGTCATTAAATGTGACATATATCAACATTTGATTTGGTAGGCAGATAAATAAGAATAAAATGTAGGAAGATATTTTATTTCTCATTTAAAAAACAACCATAGGAAATCGAGAAATACAGTACCTTTGTTTTTTAATGGATGTAGCGGAAGCAAGTACCGTTAAAGCCCTTTGACCACCATTCGTTTAGATTCTTTAACAAACGCACACTAAAACCAGAACCGATAAACCATTCTGAAAATGATAATTAAAAAGAAGATTTTACAAAAAAAAAGGAAAGAAACCAACAAATCAGTGTGAAGAGTAAATAATAAATTGATCATACCTGAACATATTTGGCTGATAAAAGTTTCACCATATATGTCGATGCAGCGTCTTTGTAGGCCGTATTTGATCTCCACATGTTGTCAACTCTTCTAAATTGATTGAAGCAATCCTAAAAAAAATTACGAAAACTCAGTTAAACTTGATTTCTTGGTTAGAAGAGAAAAATAAAGAGAAACAACCGAGGAGGACCGAAATCGCCGATGTTGTCGACCCCATCGCCGGCAACAACAATTTCGTCGCTGGTGAAATACCCACCCATGGTTTGTATGGTGTGTTGGTTATAATCGAAATTATCTGGCTTAAATTGGTCCAGTGGCGTCGTGGTCAGAATCGCCGGAGAGAAAGAAATCAACTGTAAGGTGGAACACATAAAGGAAAAAGAAGCTGTGGGAAGCAAAAAATATGTATGCAATGGCGGTAGAGTTGGTGGAATTACATAGGTGGATGATAGAATCGTTGGATGATAGAGCGAATGTGAAAGCGGTGGGAAGGATTTGTGTAACAATAACACATGCCATATACACGAAATCCAAAGTTGATTGGTCTACAAATCGGTGAGGTAAAACAAAAACAACAGGTGTACACAAAGAACCTACAAAATGACATAAAATGACCTCCTAAAAGAAAAGAGACATAATTGCAACCCCACCCATAATCAGAGGATCATTTCTGCCAAATCCTTAGGAACTTCACTGTTATAAACGCTTTTTAATATATATATATATATATATATATATATATATATATATATATATATATATATATATATATATATATATATATATATATATTAAATAGCATTTTTAATATTAACTATATAAGAAACTTTGTTTTGCGAGGTTGGATTTGACAGATTTGGTGGTGTAGACCCCAAATCTGGAACGAACATATTGTCACAAAAATAATAATAAACTTAAAAATATGGATGAGCCAGTGTTGTCACTTGTTGGAGAGGAATCTGCATGATTAAAGTTTTTAGTTGAAAGAAATAGAATGACAAAATAATGAAATAGACAAGGTAATAGAATGAGTCATTCCATTTAATAATCATCTTCAAAATTGAATGATTTTTCATATGAATTTCGTGTATTATATATAAACTGTAAACACGATGCACAAGTTAATTCTATTATTAACAAAAATAATTATTAAGTCTTCATTTACCAAAAAAATATTAACAGATATATTACCTTAAGGACTGTAAAAGCCCTATAAAGATCTTTCTTTCTAACATCTCTAATACCATCTTCATTACCTGAGAATCAAATTTCACTATTTTAGAATCTCATTTGTTTTAATGATTATGAAACAAAAATAGCAAAAAAAAAAAAAAAACTAAAATTGAGAAATTGTCAGCAAGTGAACACATAAATATAACATAGCTATAAAGAGTATTGCCAATTGACATGCACAATTTGTGCACATTATGCCCTCTTGAAGTTAGTTGATTGATTGTTAGTGAAAAGAACGTATGAAACAAATATCTAATCAATTATTAACAAAAAGGGAAATAATGTAGTTATGACCTTCAAGAGGCCTTTTTTACAACATTGTAATTAAATTGTTATTTATAAAAGGAAAAACATCAAGAACTATACAAAAATGACCAATATATCCTTTGAAAAGATGGACTACATATTTTCTGTGTTGTTATAATCATCTTGTCCAAACTCTTTAACACCACCAAGATCATTGTAACATTAATGTACCTTGAGACTATAAACATCTTGGATTATTAATTGGTTTTTTAAAATTAAAATGATGAACAAAAAGAATACAGTCTACTTAATTGAAATTAAGATAATAGTTTATTGGGAAATTAAATAATATAACCCAATGACATCAATTCCATAATAATTTTTCATATTTCCAAAATTACCATTTTCAAAAAGCATCAACATTCAGTGTGTGTGTAAATAATTGCTCTAAAATGAAATGAAAAAGGGGTATTAAGAACATGAAGAAGAAGAAAAAATAGTACCTTTTACTTGAACAAACCAACAATTGAAATAGAAACGCTACCTTCTTATGAGATGAGAGGATAAAAAGGAGCCAACATGCAGGGCCAAGATAGGAAACACATTGATAATAGTGTTTTTCACAAAAACATAGATAACACATAGTTATTGCTAACAATATCGTTCTTGTAATCTTAAATGTAAGCTAACATCATTCTACACATATTGATTGTATTTTTTACAACAAATTTCATATTTGTTTGCAACACAACTGACAAGATAATTACAGCTAAAGAGAAATAAAGAGTAACAAAAAAAATCATAACTTATTGCTTCGGGTTGATAAATGTTCAGTTAAATAAAGTGAGAAATATTAGGAAAATGTGAACACAAAAAGGTAGTACCTTATTCAAACGTAGTAAATATCACTAACTGTGATTTTTGTAGTAGTCTGTGCAATTTCTACAATGTAGTAACATCTGAAATTTATTTGGGAGTTTCATTGATGGTGCTCATATGACAGTTGCATTAGAATACATATATAGACAATACATCAAACAGCTTGTGTGCAAGAAACCAAAGAAATTCAAGAAAATGTGATATTACCTTGGGCAAAAAAATTGATTCTCAAGTTGTTCATCTTCTTCAACATCATAAAGCATCATCTGTGGAAATATAATAAAAATATTAAAAAAACATTCTGATGTTATTCGAGTATTTGTGTAAGGGCCATAATATAAGCAACTACAGCTGGCCAAATCTATGGTGAACAGAACTCAGCTAAGTTGCTATAGAGAAGATTCACCTGATTGAAGAAATCAACAACTGAAAATCAAGAATCATAGGTGAAAAATCAAGAAAAATAGGGAAGAAGCCTCAACCTTCGGTGAATCGACCCTTAAGGTGGAAAATCTTATCAGCGAGGGCTTCAACGGAATCTTGAAATCTAGCTTATGACACATATGACGACAATTTGTTGTAAGGGTCGATCGTTCATGGCAGTCTTGTTGTGTGGAAGAAATCCAACTCAGTTACTTTAATAATAAAAAAAAGATGTGAGAAGAAGAGAAACTGTTGAAGATGCGAGAGAGGAAAAAGGACATCCACTCACCCCAATCCATTCCTCCCAACATCCGAAACGGAAAAGCAAGGATTGGGTATTGGTAGCCTTACAGTCATGTGCTTCTTCATAATCACATGATTTCATAGTCGATTTGAGGAATTTCTTTTCTAGTCGCTCAAAACTCAGAAATTGATTTGCTTGAGAGTTCACGAAGTCGTCGACCTCACTAGAGGTCTAGAATTCCAGTGATGGGCAGTGAGACAAAATCACCCAATACATCGATGCTTACGTGATGTGAGGTTGGCCAGGGAAGCGTGATGCAAATGTGAAATCGGAAAGAAACCAACATACCCCTCTTCCCCTGTGAAATTCTAGAGCTCTTCAATTTTTGGAAAATGAAATGGTAGGGAAATTGGAAGTCAATGAAAAAAGAAATTTGTGATTTGTTGTAAAGAAGGAAGAAGGAGATGTAATACGGAGCAGACACGTGTTACAAATGTGGATTAAAGCCACTGGAGGGAAGAGGTGGTGGAAGATACATGTCTAGGAGACTTATAGACCCATACACCGACTTCCAGATAACCAAAATCGGTAACATTGAAACGAAAAAACAATTCCAAAACCTAATATTGAGGAAGGGTTATAGGGGGCAAACTGTATTTCCAAAAAAGAAGTGGGCCAATTATGTCAAAATCTTAGGAACTTTACTGTTCCTAAGGTGAGAAATCTTTTATATATATATATATATATATATATATATATATATATATGAAAAGTTCAATAGAGAACCATTATTAATCAAGGAACCAAATTAAAAGCTGATCAACGACAAAAGGAAAATTGTAAACCTTTACAATGCACGCACATGCACCGAATTATAACAAAACTAACTTGCTTTTTTTCGTTTAAAATTTTTTTAGCCCATGTTTTTTATCAAAAAAAAAAAAAAAAAAAAAAAAAAAAAAAAAAACCGAGTATACCGTTGTTCACGATTTTTCGTCCTCTTTTCAAAGAGATCAATGATGATATATAAAAAATGATTTTTTTTTTTGAAAAAACTCACTTCATTTTCTTTGTTGAAAAGTTTAGGTCTTATTTTTTATGGGAAAAATAATAAATATATCAAAATTCATGCTTTTTTGTATTTTTGTAAACATAGATTCATATTTGTATAAAAAAAATATATTTCAGTTCAGATTCACATTGTACCTGTTCAGATTCATATTCTGAACCTGTTCAGATTCACATTGTGAACATTCTCAGATTCATAGTGTGCATAATAGTAAGTCAGATTCACAATGTGAATCTAAACTAATCAAACTTTTTTACATTGTGAATGTTAAAATTGAAATAGTTACAGTTTAGATTCATAGTGTGAATCTACACTGAATGAAGTTTTTTTTGTGAATTTTTTCAGATTCATAGTGTGCATAATAGCAAGTCAGATTCACAATGTGAATCTGAACTGATCGAGCATTTTCACATTGTGAATGTTAAAAATTGAACTATTTACAGTTTAGATTCACAGTGTGAATCTACATTGATTGAGTTTTTTTTTTATTTTTTTTTTTTATTATTTTTTTTAAGAGGTTGTGTTGATGTTTATTAATAGAGTACAAAAAATTAATATTTTTTGTATAATTAGTTTTTTTTATAAAAATAAACTTAAATATTAAAAAACTAACAAAATGAAGTGGATTTTTTTCGAAAAAAAAAATTCATTATTTATATATTATCATGGATCTCTATGGAAAAACGACGAAAAATCGAGAACAACGGTATACTAGTTTTTTTTTTCTATAAAAAATGTGGTCTAAAAAATTTTTTAAATGAAAAAAAGAGGTGAGTTTTTTTGGTAAGGAGGTGGATTTTGTGGTATAATCCGGTGTGTGTGCGTGTAATGTACAAGTGTACATCTAATTCCTTGGCTGTTGATCATTATGATTTCCGACGCTCACGATTGGTTACTAGGTTCCTTGTTAATTATGGTTCTCTATTGAACCTCATCGTGTGTGTGTGTGTGTGTATATATATATATATATATATATATATATATATATATATATATTATATATATGTCTTTTTTGTTGGGGGATCTTAAATGGTTAACATATGTTAGGACTTAATATTATTAACATCTAGTTATTTCATTACTCTAACCTCTAATTAACTAAATGACATCTTGAATAGATAACATTTTAAAATAATTTTTTCTTTAAATTTAGAGCAACTTACACAGATGGTCCCTGTGGTTTGGATCATCTGCATGGTTGGTCCCTAATTTTTTTTTCTTAATTTGGATAGTCCTAATATCTATTTATTATTGCGTAATCCCTATCAAACTTGAAATTGATGGGTTTTAGTCATAAGAACATCTTATGTGCTCATACAAACCCTAATGCATGGATCTAGGTTTCTGTATTGTACATGCAATTCATCCAAGACTATAAACCCTAAATCTAGCATATGAAAATCGATATTAACATAATAATGGGTTTAAGATATTACCTTGATTGTTATGTAGCAATAACAATGAACAATTCCTCCTTGTAATGACTTTAGAAAGCTTAGAGTCACAAATGTCACTCCTCTAATGGTTCACAAATACCAAGAGCAAGAGGATGAAGAGGAGAAGAGAATGAGGCTACCCAAAATGTGTGGAAACCCTAACCAATTAGTTCACCACGTTTTTGGGGCATAAGGGCTCTATAAGTAGTGAGGCTATTAGGGTTATCAAACAAGGAAACCTTAATTTGGATGCTTAAGCCCTAAGCAACCCATGGACTCCTTCCTTAACTAGCCTTGGAAGATTTCTAATGGGTCTCCCCATAAAATTCGTCGAACCTTATAATGTAAGGTAATCCATAGCCCAATTGCAATTATCTTATAATTACAATTCTAGTCCCTTAAGTTTAATTAATCTCTTTTAGCCCCAAACTTAATTCTCATTAATTCTTGACTGATATTAATTAAACAATATGATTTCTCCTTTAATATATTATTCTCATAATATATTAATAAATCTTATTTAATCCTTTCTCTCCATAATTCATCCTATCAAGTTGCTTTGGTGAAGGCAACCCAAAAGGACCATGCACCATTGGGTCAAGTACATACAAAAATAGTTATGGACTTAGACACTAATCCAACAATCTACCACTTGGATAAGTCTAATAACTATTCCGCGTATGACTTCAGATCCTGATCTGCAATCGTAGCTTTCTAAAGCCGCTGTAAACTCTGATTTTATCAGATATGCGTGTCCTTTAGATAAGGGATCATATATTCCTCCATTCTAGATATTATCGTATAGACTGAGACATGGATCTATATCATTCTCTCTGTCTATGTGCTGTTTTCCGAATTAAGATTTATGACGACCGACAACAGACTACAATTAAACACATCAATTCAGTCCCGGCTTGGCCAAGCGCTTAGGTGCCATCACTAAATCATCGAGGGGCCCACATATATCGCTTTTATCCTACTTTAGATACAAGGAACAGATAAACTTTGACTCAATGCTTGCTTACACCTACTCACCAAATCACACGCAACAATATGTTTTATAACACCAAGTTACTGGTCCGTTTACACATTATCAATGTGCAATCGACTCACAAGTTACAACTCACACATCTCAGTTTCAACAATATAAGATGTTATCGTCTCACCAATCACTCGTGATGAAATCCATGAAGTGATCCAAGTGAGCGTGAGTTTAATCCAATGCTCAAATCATATTCATAAGCACTCATGAACTTTACAACAAACATTTGCTTATGTCTAATGCTCTTTAGACAACCCACACACCAATTCACGACAGTCTTCATTCATACCTACTTCCAACATATGAACGCCTGTGGTCCATTCGAATAATTTGATTGTTCTGAACCAATTTAATTATTCGGGAAGTCAAAACATGCAAGGTGAAACACAAGGGTAATACTAATCCCATATGGCCTCAAACCTTTGAGTATAAATAAAACACCTTTTATTTATCACCATATCGATTACTCATTATTTGTCATTTCGGGTAATGAACTTCTTACGTAAATTATTACCACACTTGTCCCATGCTCTTATCATGCACACAATGTTTTCCTATGGTTCTTATTTTGTGAAATAAATCAAATGAACACATTACCAATCATACTCATTTCAGAACTCCCAATCCTTTCTACAAGTGAAAGAATATCAAATTCTTGCCACTTATGGAATATGCTAAATTCTAACATTTATGCAATAATCCTTTCGTAATATCATTGCACTAAAGTCACAAGGACTATTGCCAATGAAATTACAAAGTCCTCTATCGGAGATTGTTACAAGACAATTCCATAGATGTGATGTTTCTCACCCAAAGTACATTTCTTTGAACATCCTTTTGCATAAAGTTTCTAATCTAGACATAGATCTCAATATCTAACTCCCAATATGGAAACCTTTCCATACTTACTATATCAGAACTCATTCTTAATAGAATCTTATCTATTCATAATAATGTCGATATGTTCCATCCAATATCCTACTTCCAACTACTCACGAGCGACCAATCCTCAGCAAGCTTTGGATCGTCCTTTGATAGTTGTTTAATTATCTTAGTCAAAACCGATTCTATTCCTTTTTCCCTCTAAATGCGCTAGACATTTGGAAAATTTTAGAATGGTCAAATATTATAGAATTTGCAATTGATCCTATACCCGAAGCGTATGTGACACGATGCACAATGTCTTACATAAAGATATGATACTTTGCCATAATATTTTATGTGCTACGTTCTCATAATTCGAACTTTATGAAGAGGAATGCCGTAATCATAATCGAAATTTAAGAACACACTATGTATCTAAGACTAAAGATATTAGCATTCCACAACCTAAGCCTTTAGATTTGAAATGAAGCATAATATTCTCTCGCTTAATTATAGCAAAACAACTATTCAACCCTTACAACTTTGCAAAGTATGACTCTTGTTTTCTATAATTAATATTTCTAACTTGCAATACTTGCCTTAATAATCATACAATCATAACATTTATGCTCCCACTATCATGATGATTATTATAAACATAACACTTATGCTCCCACTAGCTTTGACATGTCTTCAGAAAACAGCTTAACTTACAGAAAAACAATACCTATTGAATTTCTCAAGTTCATATTTCTAATACTTAATGCTTTGATAATCCTTTATCAAGGCTTCTTGAACTCATACACTTTTCTTTTGGATAGCTCATATGTGTGTCTAAACAATTAAGACTGATTGCCAAATCTCACAATTCGAATCATGGAAAGGGATACCGTAACCATAATCGAATTCGAGAATCCAATTTTCACAATCACTATCTTCTCAAAATCTCTTTTCAGTGAAAGCATTTCCTCACAATCATTTTCATGAAGGAGGGAATCTTATGACACTTAGATTTTAATGGTGTATGTGTGTGTTCCTATCCATGTGA